CCGTCACAACCCCCCCCCCCCAAAGGTGGCCCAAGTGATCCAGCTCAGCCAGCAACGGGAGAAGGCTGTGCCTCCCTGGCCTCACCCCGGGTGGTTTCTCCTCACCGGTCCCAGATGGAGTGGCCAGGAGCGCTGGGCAGCAGAGGTGCTGCCTTCTTTTTTCTATTTGGGCTGGCCAGTTCCCAAAGCTGGCCAGGGTCTGCACCTGACCACCTCGGGCAGAAGAGATCCTGCATGGGACCAGAGGATGCAGTGTCATGTCTCTGTGCAGAAACACAACCTTGACCCCACGGCCAGCACCACACCGTCATCTCTGTGCGTGGGAGTCACCTTACAGAGATCTCTGTTTTAGGGGTCTAGGAAGATCCTGGGGCAGTGGCAGCCTGGGTGGGAGTGCTGGGAGGAGAACGTGGCTCAGTTTGGCTGTGGAGGGGAGGGAGCTTCCTGGGGAGGCCTGGAGTGCTGCATGCTGCGTTGGGGTGTGTTGTCACAAGCTCTGGCTCTGGTTCCTGTCTCAGCAGCGGTGGAGATGCTGACGTCTTCCTGCAGCCCTGAGAAAAACGCTGTCCGGAGCCAGCAGCTCTTCCTGCCAGGTAGGCAATTGCCAGGGGGTACCTCCCCTGGTCCTGCTGTTTGTTTGCCTTCTCTTTCCCAGGAGGCTGCTGGTCCTGTGTCCGTGTGCTCTCTAGGACACTCTGAGTCACCTCGGCTGTGGCTGCTGTCAGCTGCCCCGCTGTCCTGGTTGCCCTTCCCGGCGCAGGAGGGGCCAGGGCTCAGCGCAGTGGCTCTCGGGGTGTCTGGGATGCACTGTGCTCAGGTCAGATGCTGGGCATTGCCAGGCAGGTTGCTCGGTGGCCTCCAGGAGGAGGTCAAGCTTCACTGCTCTTCCAGACTGGGGGCCGTGGCAGGTCTATGGCTCCCTGCTCCTTTGGGAGAGGAGACCAGGCTTGGCCCTTCCTCACCCACCACGGATGCTGGGCCAGCCAGGCTGGGCTGCTGGAGGCTCACCCTGGGATGGAGGGGCTTGCAGGGCTGCCAAAGCAACTAGCTGACCTTTTGTAATCCCTGTCCTGCCTGTCTCTGACCGAGGCAGACCCCAGCCCCAGGAAAAACAGAGGTGCTGGCTCAGCTTTGCCGGCCAAGAGGAAGATCCCGGGAGAGTCTCTCATTAACCCTGGCTTCAAAAGGTAAGTGCTGCTCTGAGGCCCAGTGCCGGGGCTGGGCTGTGCTGGAGATCCAGTGGACTCTGCTTTGTAGCTGCATGGGGGCAGAGTGTGGGGCTTTGGGCTGTGATGCTCCTTCCATCTCCTAGCAAGAAGGCACCATCTGGAGTGGATTTCGAGGACTCCTGACCTTTGCTGTCCCGTCCCCCGATGACAACCCTACTGGAGCCTTGTCAACCACGTGTGTGGCTCGTGGAAGAGGTTTCACTGCACCCTGGGACTGCTGAGCCCCTTGCGCCCAGGGAGGCGGACGGAGCAAGCAGGACCCAGAGGGCTGGAGCCAGCACCTGGCAGGCCTGAGCAAGCAGCAGATCCTCAGCTGGTGCGGTGGCAGGGCCTTTGGGGGGACAGACCGGGCAGGGGTGACAGAAGTGGTGGCTTTTTTCCCTGCAGCTCTTCTCTGCTGACAGGGGCCACCTCTCTACCTCGCTTGCCATGAATTGGCGGGGTTTTTAAAGAACTTTTATGTTGCCATGTAATGAAAAGATTGCCTGTGCTTAACTTATTGCCAGTAAAGGTGGTTTTAGCCAGCCGGTCTCAGGGGACCGGGACAGCAGGGATGTGTCGGTCCATTCTGTCTTTCCCGTGCTCAGGAACCCTGTGGCCAATTTCAGCTGAACCTGGAGGGTCAGGGGCTCAGAGGAGTTCACTTTCCTGCTAGCTCTGTGCCAGTGGGCTGGGGGGTGAGTGGTTAGAGCCTCCCCAGCCCTTGATAGGCACTTGGAGAGAACTGGGAGGCCGGTGCGGAGTCCTGCAAGGGAGGAGAGCTGCTGGGGCTGGTCACTCGAGACTCACGCTTGTCTCGCTTGCAAAGCCTTTATTGATTTCTAGGAGCTCTGATACATGGCTTGGACTTGCCCCGCTTCACCCCCATCCCTCTCCCAAATCTGCTGCTAAGAGCTTCCTAACGGCGGGTTCTGGGGGGCATGGTGCCCTCTGCTCCCCTCACCCAGGGCAGTGGGGGCTGGGCCGTGTCCACCACCCGCAGCATCCCCCTGGCTCTGTCCCCAGGGCTCTGCTGTGGCTGTGCTGGTTCCCCTCACCTGGTGCAGCTCCTCGGAGGCATCCTGTGGTGCCCGCTGCCCTGGCACAGCCCTGCCTTGGGTTACTCACCTGGCAGGGGAGGCTGCAGGGATGCCAGCTGCAGTGTGCTGCCCTCTCTGCCCTACAGCCCTCTGCTCTGGGCAGCTTTTCCTCCCCAGCTTCTGCCCTTGCCCTCAGCATCGCCCAGTTTTGGTACAGATGCTGCCCGTGGCTGTGGCCCCCTTGCACCCATCCTGATGCTTGAGGGACTGCAGGGCAGGTTGAGGGGGTCCTGGCCAGGCAGGGAGGGTGGCACAAGAAGCAAGAACACGATTGTGGGATCAGTGCGACGCAGATTGCTGCCGGCACCTCGGGCAGGGGTGCCAGCTGAGGGAATTTGGATGCCAGGGGCACAGCTCATGCTCTCTGCCCTCCCAAGTGCATGCAGGCAGGACTGTGGTGGTTGCAGCAGGACCGGGGTGGGCACTGGCCTGCTGCCCGACCCTGGCCCTGCGCCCACCTGGGCGCATGTCTGGCTCACTGCGGCGACCGAACCACGGAGCGATAGGCTTGTACAACCTCCTCGCTGTTGGGGCAGGTGTATTTGAACTCCTTTGTTTCACTGGCGCCATTGAGGTAGCGCCACACGCCCCGCAGGTCCTTGGGGATCCCAAAGCGGCGGTAATGCTGGCACACGACCTGCAGGCAGAAACAGGGTGAGCCCTTGCCCAGCCCTGTGTGCCTGTGGTGTGCCAAGAAGTGCCCCGCGGCCAGGGGGTGGTATTCACAGGCAGGAGCCAGCCAGGAAGGGCGGCAGGGGGCCAGGGGACATCCCTGGCACTGCATGAGGCAAGGGGTGGCACCTGGCAGGGGATGCGGGGGGGAGCAAGATCTGTGGGAAGGCACCATGCTGGGGAGGGGGGTGCCAGGGGGGCACCGGGGTGAAACAGGAGTTGGCAAAGGAGCGGGGAGTTGCTGCAGGCACTGAGGGGGAGGTGAGAGCATGGCGCCGGCAGCATTGGGAAGCCAGGGCAAGGGGAAGGGCATGGCACCGGGATGCCCGCACTCACCTGAACGATGTTGAGCTTGGGCAGCAGGTTGCAGTCGGCTAATGTGAGCTGGTCCCCGTCGAGGAAGCGGCGCTGGGAGGCCCGGAGGTGAGGGTCGTGGGCCAGCTCGTACTCCAGGGGGGCACTCAGGTACTCGTCCAGCTTCAGCAGGGCCCGCAGCAGGCTCCGCTGCAGAGCTGCAGGGAGGGCGGCAGCACCGCTGGGTCAGGGCATGGCCCCGCTGCAGGCACGGGGCCCCGCAGCTCTGCCGTGGCCTCCTCCTGCCAGCCCATCTCTGTGCCCAGGCAGTGCCTGCCCACACTTTTCCCACCTTGCCCAGGTTGGCACGTGCCCGTGCCCACCCAAGAGAGCCCTGGCTCTCTGAACTGCATGGGGAAGGGGGGCTGCCTGGAGAGACCCAGCTGTGGCCTGGGGCAGGGGACATCTGGAAAGGCTCAGGGTGACCTGACCAGGCTTCAAGGTGGTGGCACCTGAGAAGTTGCATGCGGTGTCCCCCCACCCAGCTCCTCACCCTCGTCCTGGGCAGGCACCGGGTTCTTGATGAAGGTGGAGAACTTGTGGAAGATGTCGTTCCCGGCCAGGCTCGACTCCCTGTACCGCGGGACCAGGCTGGGGAACCTGCAGGGATGTGGGCACAGCTGAGGAAGGAGGCAGGGGCCGGCAGGCTCATGTGCTGCCTGCCCGCCTGCCCCCCCCCTCAGCCTGTCCTGCCCCTCTTTGGCCCCTTGCCCTGTCTCGAGGCAGCGCCGGCCACTGACATGGGGGGGCCCAGCTTGTCCTCCAGGAAGTCCTCGATGGTGACGGTGTCAGTCTTGGGCTCGCCATTGTAGAGCAAAACGGGCAGCTGGGCACCCGGCGCAAAGTCCTTCAGCACGTCCAGCGCCCTGTGGGAGGCAGGGACAGATGCTGATGCCCAGCAGTGCCCAGGGCTCTTGCAAGGCACCGCACACGTGTTTGTGTTTGTATGCACGTGTCCTGGGCAAAAGGATGAGGTGGTGCCCCCAGGCTGCTCCTTCCTCAGTGTGTGCCCATGGCAGCTCTGCCCTGGAAAATGCCCACCAACCTCCCTCAGGCAGTGGTGGGCAGCTGGGGGGGTACAACAGGGTCTGTGAATCCCACAGTGCCCACCCTTCACGCCCCTTCCCAAGGTGTTGGGGACCTACCACCCCCCCATCAGTGTGCCAGGGCAAGGCTGTCCCACACCACCCATGGCCCTGACCCCATGGCTGGCAACCCCCATGGCTGGCAACCCCCATGGTGAATGGGGGGGCACGACTCACCTCTTCACATCCACGGTGGTGAGGGTGAAGGGCACCCCTTTGAGCAGCAGCACCATGAAGAGCCGCTGGCAGAAGGGGCAGTGTCCCACGCTCTCCCCGTCCTCACTTGCCTGTGGGCAGAGAGGGAGAGGTCAGCTGCCCCTTTGCCCTGGCACGGCTGCAGCGGGGGCAGGACTGGCCGGGCAGCCCCAGTAGGTGCAGGGTAAGGGTGGTAGGGCACATACCACCCCTGCCCCACCCAAGCCCAGGCTGGCAAGCAGCACTGGCAGCCTGTGGCACCTGCTATGCCTGGCAGGGCACCAGCCCCTGGCCCCTGCCTGCTCCTGGGGTGTCCACGCTCCACCCCAGAGTAGCCTGCGTGGCACGGCGGGTGCTGGCCCTAGCACCCCCAGGGGACCAAGGGGCCCCAGGCTGCCCCAGTCCTGCAGTGCTGAGGGGGCCAGGGCTTGGGGGCAGCGACGGCAGTGGCACTGGGGGTGGCTGTGGCAGGGGACAGCCCAGCATGGCAGGAACTGTGCCGGAATAAGGCAATGGCAATGCTGGTGGCCCCGTCACCCCCAGGCGCGATCCCAGGCAGGTGTTGTCCTGCCCTGTGCAGCCGGACAAACTGCCCTGGCTGGGTGGTGGCTGGAAAGGGCCCGGCAGGTGCAGGCAGCCAGATGCTGAGGTGGCCGGGCCCTGGTTTTGGGGGGGCACCCCAGTCCAATACCCCATGCTGAGCACCCGCACCCCCCCCCCCCCTGACCGTGCGGCAGCAAGCACCA